CATTATGCCAAGTGTAAAGTTTGGTGAAGGGGGGATTATGGGTGGGTTTTTTTGGGGGGGTAGGGCTGGGCCCCTTAGTTCCAGTGAAGGGAACTCTTAAGGCATCAGCACACCAAGACATTTTGTACAATTTCATGCTCCCAGCTTTGTGGAAGGAGTTTGGGGATGGCCCCTTCCTGTTCCAACATGACTGCACACCAGTGCACAAAGCAAGGTCCATAAAGACATGGATGAGGGAGTTTGGGGCGGAGGAAGTTGACTGGTCTGCACAGAGTCCTGACCTCAACCCCATAGAACACCTTTGGGACGAATTAGAGTGGAGAATGCGAGCCCGGCCTTCTCCTCCAACATCAGTACCTGACCTCACAAATGGTCCAACATTCCCATAGACACACTCCTAAACCTTGTGGACGCCTTCCCAGAAGAGGTGAAGCTGTTATAGTGGCAAAGGGTGGAGCCAACCCAATACTGAACCCTACGGACTAAGACTGGAATGCCACTAACGTTCATGTGCGTGTAAAGGCCGGCGTCCCAATACTTTTGGCAATAGTGTATATGAGCTTCTCATAGTCAATGAGCTGCTGTTTATGAGAGAAAACTGGATACACAGAAACTCCACCAGAGGTTAGTAACTTCTCAAGTTCTTTGTTTTGGCCAAGCAGGTGAAAATCCCCCTCAGAGCTTCTGAAGCCCATGTTTTTTCTTATGGTTCACAAGATGTGACACGAAAAATGCTTTTCCCCGGTGTGCGTTCTAACATGCCTGACCAGATCGGGTTTATTCGCCAAGCTCTTCCCGCATTTGGAACACAAATAAGGTTTCTCTCCCGTGTGAATTCTTCGATGGGATGTGAATCTTGACTTGTGAAGGTAATCTTTGCCACTCTCCCGACAATAATAGGGCATCTCCCCTTTGTGAGTCTTATCGTGCTGGTGCAGGGTGGACTGTTCGGAGAAGCTTTTTTCACACAGGCGACACGTGCGAGCATGTGCGCCATTTTGTGCGCAGAAGTCGCCAACTGTCTGCAGAGTCAATAGCTACAGACCTCCAAACTTAGTGTGGCCTTCAGATTGGCACAACAACAGTGCGTAGAGAGCTTCATGGAATGGGTTTCCATGGCCGAGCAGCTGCATCCAAGCCTTACATCACCAAGTGCAATGCAAAGCGTGGGATGCCGTGGTGTAAAGCACGCCGCCACTGGACTCTAGAGAAGTGGAGACGTGTTCTCTGGAGTGACCAATCACGCTTCTCTGTCTGGCAATCCGATGGGCGTGTCTGGGTTTGGCGGTTGCCAGGAGAACGGTACTTGCCTGACTGCATTATGCCAAGTGTAAAGTTTGGTGAAGGGGGGATTATGGGTGGGTTTTTTTGGGGGGGTAGGGCTGGGCCCCTTAGTTCCAGTGAAGGGAACTCTTAAGGCATCAGCACACCAAGACATTTTGTACAATTTCATGCTCCCAGCTTTGTGGAAGGAGTTTGGGGATGGCCCCTTCCTGTTCCAACATGACTGCACACCAGTGCACAAAGCAAGGTCCATAAAGACATGGATGAGGGAGTTTGGGGCGGAGGAAGTTGACTGGTCTGCACAGAGTCCTGACCTCAACCCCATAGAACACCTTTGGGACGAATTAGAGTGGAGAATGCGAGCCCGGCCTTCTCCTCCAACATCAGTACCTGACCTCACAAATGGTCCAACATTCCCATAGACACACTCCTAAACCTTGTGGACGCCTTCCCAGAAGAGGTGAAGCTGTTATAGTGGCAAAGGGTGGAGCCAACCCAATACTGAACCCTACGGACTAAGACTGGAATGCCACTAACGTTCATGTGCGTGTAAAGGCCGGCGTCCCAATACTTTTGGCAATAGTGTATATGAGCTTCTCATAGTCAATGAGCTGCTGTTTATGAGAGAAAACTGGATACACAGAAACTCCACCAGAGGTTAGTAACTTCTCAAGTTCTTTGTTTTGGCCAAGCAGGTGAAAATCCCCCTCAGAGCTTCTGAAGCCCATGTTTTTTCTTATGGTTCACAAGATGCACCCTCTGAGTAAAATGTTTCCCACAGTCAGGACACGAAAAAGGCTTTTCCCCGGTGTGCGTTCTAACATGCCTGACCAGATCGGGTTTATTCGCAAAGCTCTTCCCGCATTTGGAACACAAATAAGGTTTCTCTCCCGTGTGAATTCTTCGATGGGATGTGAATCTTGACTTGTGAAGGTAATCTTTGCCACACTCCCGACAATAATAGGGCATCTCCCCTTTGTGAGTCTTCTCGTGCTGGTGCAGGGTGGACTGTTCGGAGAAGCTTTTTTCACACAGGCGACACGTGCGAGGATGTGCGCCATTTTCAAGAGGACAGGACCTCTTCGCCGTCTCCATGATGAGGGATGGGATAGGAGTGATCAGAACAACCCGTCTCATGTGTAGGAGGATCAGGCGATAGGTGTGCACTGTGAGGTGCTGGATTTGACTTTGGGTCAACGGGATACTCATCTGAAGAGTTATCCGTGATGTCATCATCCGTTCCACTATCATAATGGCTAATGGAATTTGTCTCCATGTTGTCGTAGTTTTCACCTTAGAGGAATTCATGTAGCTTTGCAGGAACAATAAAAAGCATGGTGAGGTATGCCCTAAAATGGACACTGCATTAGACTCTGTCTCTCCTCCCTATATCATGTCACAGTGTGTTTTCAAAGCAGCTGCCTTGTGAAACATTTCCCAAACGCTAGCACTTATTAGCTTTTGCATATTATTCACTGTGTTATCAAAGAAACTGCCCTGTGAAACATTTCCCAATATGCTAGTGCTTAGTATTCACTGTGTTATCAAAGAGACTGCCTTGTGAAACCCTTCCCAAACACTAGTAACTACTATCCACTGTGTTATCAAAGCAGCTGCATTGTGAAACATGTCCCAAACGCTAGCACTTATTATCTACTGTGTTATCAAAGCGACTGCTTTGTAAAAAACTTCCCGAACACTAGTAACTACTATCCACTGTGTTATCCAAGAGACTGTTTTGTGAAACACTTCCCAAACGCTAGTAACTACTATCCACTGTGCTATCAAAGAGTCTGCCTGTGATACCCTTCCCATACTCAAGTACTTAACATCTGATTGCAAGCCTGAACTGGGTAGAAGCCTGAACTGTTTGAATTATACTGCTACCCGCTACTTGACAGATACGATATCTGATCCCTATCAGAAAACTCTCCACATCATATCTGTAACTGAGATCCTTGCACTCTCCTAACACGGGGTGTTACAGATGGGCAGAGGGAATAAAGGAGAAGTGTGCATGATAGAGTTTTGCAGGATGAATAAGGTGGACAGCTGGCAAAGCAACTAAGGTTTTGAAAAGTAATGAGGGAAGTGAAAGATTTGGATCCCTGAAGGGAATAAGAAGAGTTTTACAGAAGTGAAGAGCATGGTGAGGTATGTTCTACAGAGCCTGGTGGCTCCTGACTCCCCCCACTAGACACATTCCGTCCCCCATTACTGTCTACTGACAGAGGAGGGGGGAGAAGAAGAGATTGTTGTAGTGACTGAACAAGGAGAATCTGGGACTCTTTTCTGGGTTTAGTGTTTATTACTCACCTGGGCTTGTCTCTGGAGGAACGTCCATACCCATGCATGTCTCATCACCC